CCTACAGGCTGCAACCAAGGTCTGTGTAGGTGCTGACTGTGTAGCTATTGTGTATATAAGGCACAACCTCTGCCCTCAGTATGCTGTATAAGCAGAGAAGACAGATAAAGGCTGGTGAAGGGACTCAAGCACAAGTCCTATGAGGAGAGGCTGAGGGAGGTGGGGCTGTTCAACCTGGAGAAGAGGAGGCTCAGGGGAGACCTCATCACTCTCTACAACTCCCTGAGAGGAGGTTGTAGCCAGGTGGGGGTTGGTCTCTTCTCCCAGGCAGCTCTCAGTAAGTCAAGAGGGCATGGTCTTAAGCTGTGCCAGGGGAGGTTTAGGTTAGATATTAGAAAGAATTTCTTTACAGAGGGGGTAATCAGACATTGGAATGGGATACCCAGGGAAGTGATGGATTCTCTGTCCCTGGAGGTTTTTAAGACAAGACTGGATGTGGCACTCAGTGCCATGGTCTGGGAACCACAGTGTTAGTGGATCAAGGGTTGGACTTGATGACCTTGGAGGTCCCTTCCAACCCAGATGATTCTATGATTCTATGATTCTATGATAAATGGAAGAGGAGGTAGAAACGTTATCTCTCTTTTGTAGATGAGGAACCATACAATCACACAGTCTGAATGCTAGCAACTGAACATCAGGCTCAGACTCCTGAAAAATGAAGTTTACTAATATTTTCCATTTTCAAGTAACATATTTTAAGACATTCGGGAAGAGAAAGGAATAGTGTTGCATTTGAATGAAAATCCCTAGGTGTTGTGGCAATGTATTAAAACATAACACATCTGAGTTCTTGTCAAGTACAATATACAAGTTGCTAATGCTACAGTCAAATGCATTTTTCCAAAGAATCAGCTGCTTTCTTATTGCATTTATCAAATATATCTCCATGGAATTATATTTTCTGAGACATGAATCAACACAACATATGTTATAGTGCTTCAGTTTTGTTTCCATAATGAAAAGAAGCTGCTTTAATAGCATCTGTTGTAATGTTAGGAATGTATCCTGCCATGGATTCTCAGTGAAAAAACCACCAATTTCAAGTCGCAGAACTTGGATCCAGGGTGATCCAAATGAATGGGAAGGCTAGTTGTGATTATGCCTGTTATTAGCCAGTTATCTATTCTGTTTCCCTCTCCTTTCTTTAATTATTTAGCAGAATTAACATAAAAGCACAGTAAAGGAAACACTCAAACTCAGTATCATTTCTGGATACAGATATTTTTCTTTTAGCCAGCAACAAATTTTGACAATAAAGTCCTAATCAAGTAATTTTTTTTTTTCATTTAGGTTTGTGGTTTTCCTATGTTGCAGTTGTCTTCTAAAATATACATTGTAGATAGAATAGTAAAAGGAAAACTTGCTGCACTGGGACTTGGTAAACTACCTCTAATCTAATCTATATTACAGGGCACCAATTATTGGGGAATTCATATGCTACTAAATGTCACTTCCACTCTTTTCTAGCAATGACAAAAACAATTTGTAAGTCATTCTAATCACTTACATGAGCATGCCATGCTGAAAAATCTCCTTGTTGTTCCTTCACAATTCCCTGATAACTGCAAGATTATGGCTTTTCAAGGTCTTTTCGCCCTTACCGCTGCCTGTCAGCAGAAGGAGGTAGCAGATGTTTTCATTTTGAGTCCTTTCTCCAGGGCCAGAAACAAAAAGTTATTGACAAGTGGTTTGAATAGGTCTCTTTCCTTTTCACCCTGCTAAGGTGCAAGGAGTTACACAAAAAGGAGCAGTTATGATCAGGATATTGCATTAGCTTTTTATAAACCCTAAATATTCTAGCTGTGGTTAATATTTCATATTTCCATGTAGCGTGGTAGACATGAAGGTGTGTAATGAGTAGAGATGTGGCACCTGTTCCAAAGAACTTCAGTCTAAGTCATACCCCCAGGGATTTCACAGGAAAAGGGGAAAGTTGAAAGATGTCTGAGTACAACAGTGAGGGCTTTTAGGGCAATAAACTGTGAATTCCACTAGTCTCTGCTTCCTTGGTTTGGTTTTGCTATTCTTGTATCAGAACTATTGTCAAGTTATGCAAACTGCCAGTCCTGGCATGGGGAATACACTTTGAAAATGCCTGTTTATTCAGTAGACAAGACCTTTATGCTTTAGTGATGAGTATTGAAATGTCTGGATTGACACTTTTTGCTATATATAGAAATAGATTTGGGAAGTAGAAAGCTTTGACATATAAAAGGATGATAAACTAGAAATATAATTTAAAAGAACTCTACCAGTGCTTGAGTGTCTGGCACTTTCTGCTTCACAAATTGTAACCTTTGATGGCAGGGGGGAGAGTTCATTGCAAGTCAGAGAAGTAACAGAGAGAATTTTTGATGAAAACCCGGGTTGGCTTGAAGGTATGTTTAGATCTCTCTGGATTACACTGGCAAGGTCTGAAGATGTGTTTATCAGCAAGATCTTAGGATTGTGCCTGGTCATCCTGCAGGAATAACTCCCCTGGGGCTGGTAGGGTGGATGGAGTAAGCCACTGCCTGGAGACACACGCTGACTCCATGCTAACAGTCAGACCAGCCCAAGAACAGGCAACATCTCCTGCCCACCACTTACCAGGATATCTACTGCTATATGGATTTGTGGGTACACAATCACAAGTAGGGTGGTCTTGTCTGTCAGATGCATGTAATCCCTTCCATAGGAAGTCACAAGTGGTTCCTACCTCATCACCTTCCTGTGAGAAGGGAGGGGAGGCAGATTTCTTGTGACATGGGTGAGGCTCTGAAGAGCATACTCTGCCCAAGACAAACACAGATTTTGCCTATCAGCAAAGAGGCTTTCCTAGTTTCTTTTTCTTGTGCTGGGTTTCATCATCCTTACAAGCACACTTTCACTAGACAGAAAGGTCATGGAATCTGGCCTCTGGTGTACAACCCCCAGCATTTTTCTACCATCAAGACCTGATATTAAGATGCTTTGAGAACATCCTGCCATGCTGATAGCAATCAGATTTTCATCTGATTGTCAGCAGAGTCCACTTACTAAAGTGAGTGTGGTTAAGGCTGAATTTGATGTGGCACAGAGCTGAATAGAGCTACCTGTTCCTGCTCCTCTTTGCATTGGAATTCTTCTACTTGAGGCGTTTCGTCTCTTTCATATATCCACACATGATGAAAGCAAAACAAATTTAGAAAAGACAGCACTGAGTTGTATTCAAGAGTATTCTAGCAACAAAGTTACATAGTTGATGGACACAAATACAAAAAAACCTTGCAACAAAACCCTAAACATGTTCTTTGCTACAGCTTTTTTTCCCCTGGAAATTATTATTCTCTATATTGCACCCAGCATTATACTTAATGCACTAAGCATCCCAGGTAATGATGCAATTTTGATATTTTAATTTACTGATGAAGTAATGATGACTGAGAACCTGGAATGCAAGACAAATTCTACTTGTAATTTCCATTGCTTGATGTTATATAAACTCACTTATCAATCCCCTAGTCATCTGCACCCCTCACCATGATTTCCCTCTCAACATAATAAAAAATGACTGAGTTTCAGGAAGCAATACCTATTCTGTGCTTGGTTGTAAATCTGATCTCTGTTCTAATATTTGCTTGAAAGTTATCCCTTAATAAACATTGAAGTCTTTTGAAAGGGGAAAAAAATGTCAGTCTCTTCTTTTTGACCTGTAGAAGAGATGTAAATTTACTCACACTAACTAGAAAGCAACTGTTGCAGACCTAAAACCTAATCCTTTGAGCTATCATGTTTGCTCAGTATAGCAAAGAAAATGATGTCTAGGGACACTGAGCAGCAGTTTCACATCATGAGTGTATGTTTTCTAAATATAAGGAGCAGCTTTCCTCCTCATAGTTATAAATACAGCTGTGTCACCTATATGTGATCTGACAGACAGCTGTAGCCAACAGAGGTGTGGACTGGACTGACAGTAACAGATGAGCCAGTGGCCCCATGCCCTGATAGTCAGGCAGTCTTCTCTTCTAGATTGGATTTATTAATCAGGAGAGTAGCTGTGGGTTCAGTTAGGAGGCAGTTATTCTGTTAATGCTCTGTTGCTAGACAATAACCTCCGGCCTGTCCCTGGAGTAACTCCTTCATATGTTTTGAATCAAAACACAGTCAGGTTGAGAGTACTGGGACCCTCAGATGTCAGCACCTTTCCAGCCTCTTGTTTCAAATGCCACTGCTCCACTGGGACAAGGAGAGTTGTGACCTGACCTCTCCAGTGGCCTCTATAATTTTCTGCTGAGTCAATGAACTTGACTCAAAGATCAAAGTAAACAAGAAGAGTGTCTGTCTGGGAGTGCTTTTTGCCATGTATACTGAAAGGAGCTACCTAGAGAGTGCCACTTGTCAGGCATATGACTAATAAAACATGATACAAGTGCAGACATTGGCATCTTGAGCAGAAAATGTGCATCCCAGCTTTTCAGACTTTTTCTGAACCTGGTAAGTGCATACAATCAATACCAGAAACATGGACAAGAATGTAAATTCAAATAAAAAGCATATGTTATCTCCCCTATACCTTCAGCTCTCATCCCTCTTCTGATAAAAGTTCTACATTTCAAATGTCATCAGCCTGCAGGAAGGTACAGTTTCTTCTTTCTGAGCCTATTAACACAGTCAGCACAATAAAGGCAGGGGGGAAGGAAAACAGGAGAAAAATGATAGCAGTAAACAGAACAAAACAACACAAAACCACTCCTCTTGCAGTTCTGAGAAGCATTTACTAATCTCATCTCCTGTAGAAAAATTCTGTTCTGTTTCAGGTGCTCCTGAATGTACTTAACATTGAACACTCAAAACATTCCTTGTGATTGCCTTTGCATCCCAGCAATCCACAAATTTTACACATTTATTACAGAAAATCCTTGAAATCTAATAGATCTTATCTGTGCACAGGCTCTGAGTGTCCCCACAGCTCCCTGCCACCCCCCTCCTGCCTTTGGCTGAGTTAATCGGCAGCTCTGCCGGCTAAGGGGACTTACCAAGGGCTTTTTGATGGGAGGATGCTGTTAGGCGCTCGCACACATTGGAATAGCTGCTACTCAGTAATGAAGCAGGAACTGAGAAGTCTCACTCTTTCAGTAGCTATTCAGGTAGTGCTGCCAGCTTTCTCTAGCTCTCTGCATACACACACAGGGTGGGAGTGTGGGGGGAAGGGAGGGGTGGACAGGAAGGGGGGTAGAGAGGGAGAGACACAATAAACTCTGACTATAATTATGAGACCTCCTTTCTACAAATTGTAAGAGATCCCTTCAGCAGTTTTTTTAGCATGATCTCTTCAAAAAGGAGTTCCTCTGAAAAAAACTGTATCCTTCCTACTCTCTTCCCCCGTAAGAAAAATAAAAGCCAGCTCTCTCAAAGATTTAGTCATTGATGTGTAATAGGGAGGTTATTGTTGTTCAGAGTCTTTATTTTTTTCTTTTTATGATGAAAGTTTTATTATGAAATCTAACCTAGTTTGCAGCCAAAAAAAGACCCGACTCTGCTCTCTATAGGAAACAATCTCCCAGGAAAGCAGTTTAGATCAATAATTTCATACCTTTAATGACTGTATTTATGAAAGAAAGCATTTAGGCTAAGTGATTCACTAACCGGAAAGGTAACAGCTTAGTAAATACATATCACTGCTTGTTTGTACCTGCATACACCATTAAAGAAAAAATTGAATACCATGTGTAAATTAATAGGACAATTTATAATGGAATATTATTGCATTTGGCAAAGGAATAAAAAGAATTTAAAAAAGCTAAATCTCCAAGACAGATCCTTTCTTTATAATTCTTCAGAATCTGATTCTTTAGAATCCTTGCTCTCTGAAGCCTTAAAATTATTTATCCTTTCATTACTTTTGATGTCACCTTTGATAAAAATCGGATAAAATATACCCTCTTCCTAGGCAAAAGAGGAAAGTGTTCTGGAAGATTTCTCTCCATCAGTCCATCTGTCTTTCTTACACATGGTCACCCATACATCCACCTACACACAACACGATACCGAAAGCAACGACTAGGGGGAAAATCATCGATTTCCTTCAATTCTGTTCCCCAGATAGCAGTGGCTTTGCCCAGATCTTGGTACAACTCCAATAACCACAGGGTGATAGGTAAACCAGATGAAAAAAAGGATGAAAAAAATTAAGCATGACATATGAATCTGGCTTTGTCCCCATGAGCAATGCAGGGAACATCTGGGAGCCAGCTCAGCAGAGCCCCAATGTGACAATGACTTAAAGGACTGTTGTTTGGTATCACCATTCAGAGGCATGAGGAGACCTTGTAACAAAGACTGAAATGGGGAGAAAAGAAGAGCAAATAATTAACAGAAGCCTATTAAAAAAGTAGTCACAATTGAGAGTTGCCTTATTAGTTGCCTTATTCATTAGCAGTCTGCAACACTCCATGACACCCTTGTGCAGTCTGCTAACATTTGGCAGGGGATATTTTCACACACAGCTGTCCAGTTGTTAATCTGCAAAACATGTACTTAGTATTTAATTACTCTTAATCAGAGACAAATATTGTTAGGGCCTTGACAAGTCTATTAGAAAGTCATAAAATAAGAAGTGTTCAGACAGAAGCTCTTTCTGAGTCTTTGAGTTGTCTCAGTAGCAGAAGAAATCTTGAAAAGATTGATATTTCTGTACCTCATTGCTCCTGCCTTCCTCCTGCTCAGAGTAGTTGAGACAGTGGGTGGTAAATACAAACTTGTGTTTAAACTGAAGACCAACCCTGTCTGGCACATTTTGTTCCTAAAGAAGCCCCAGTGCAGATGGGCTCAGAAGGCATCTATAGTCATTGGAGGGCATGGGCAGTAGCAGCTGTGACTTTCAAGACCTTGTTTTCTTGGTATAAAAAGCAGGAACTATGAGTGGCTATAGCCCACACATTACAACACCCCATTGTTAGCATAACTTGTTGTGGAAGTTCACTTTTTCTCTCTATTTGGCCCCTGGAGAGGTTAGCTGGGAGATTGTTGAGCTGCACTGCTTGGATTGCCAGAAAACTGCTCCCAAGGTCAGAGCTGCTCTTTCAGCACTATTGGGGCTTCCCATCAGTACCTTCTTTCCCATCACAAACACCCCTACTGCAGGACCATGAGGGTCTTAAACCTCCTCACTACACTCCCACAGCTGGCATGTCTGTAATACCACAGCAGGGTAGAACATGGCTTGAGGAAGAGCTGCAGGTATCTGTCTTAGGTAGAGCTTCCCTGCCTTGCAAGCTGTACTAGCTGAGGTTGCTGTTTTTTAAAAGCTTGTTTCTAGAAATTAGAAATAGGCAGTGGAAATGTGTTTACATCATGAGGGCAACCTGAACAGCTGACATTTGACATCTGTTTGCATTAAAAGCAAACTATCCAGCCCTTTAGTTATTCCTCCATCTGGGCTTGCTAAAAGAAGGCTTTGCAGAAAAGAATGGAGAAAAAGGGTTCAAAGAATGCCTATTACCTTTAGAATGATAGGAGGGCTCTGTTCTTAGGGGGTGATGTTAATTCAGTCAGATCTGTGGGTTGTCACTTGAGAGGACATGCAACTTACACTTTAATAAAAAAGATTCTTTTTTGTAGTGCAGGTAAACAGTTCTGGAGAGCTCTCTCATAAATTACAGCTCTACAACTTGGAAAGAACTAACAAATCATCTGTGACCTGTGAATCTAATTTTACTGCGCAAAGAACTTTTCCTCCAGGGCTCTTTCCCTTGTACATGTATCTATTTGCCATTCTTCGTTGACACAAACCAATTTCTGCGGTTTGCCTGTCAATAACTATACTTAACTTTTAATGAGTAATAGTAAAGCCATTAACCTCCAGAAGCAGCAGTTTCTTAAAGAAACAGCTCTCATTTTCTCTGTGATGAGCAAGATTTTTCTTGAAATACACCTCTTGACTGAAAAGTGCATTTAATATACTAGGGGATGAGGGCAATATACTGGGAGTATACTGTTTCTTGTGTGGATGCTACTCTCCATCAATATCAACTACAAGTTTTATACACTGGTATCTTGCTTACTGTCTGAAAATAGTAAGACTTATCTAATATGGCTTACTGTATCCTTTGGCAGTCAGTGTGGAGTGGGTACTGGCTGGTGCAAGGTAGTCCTAATGATGTTTTTTCCTCTGTCTCTTCATTTTCTAACTCTCTTCACACATGACTGAGTGACCAGAAATGTTACACTAAGGAATCAGTGCATGTGTTATAATGATACCAAAATTATCCCAGTGTCAGTATTATTAACACAGGCGAATATCAGTTTTACAATTATTAGAAAGCTGAACGATCTGAGATATGAAAACTCGTAATTCATACATGCAAACAACCTCTGCCCTGTGAGTGACACCACACTAGTTTAGATAAAACTGATTTCTGAAGACATAACTATCCCCTCTCCCTCCTTTCTCACAAAATTCTAATCATTTTATAGTGCAAAGATACAAACACAGCCTATCTTTCAGACAGTGATTTTTATGTGTGCTAGACTGCAAGAATTAGGTATGTACATCTTAATGTCACAGGCGCAAGATTTTACTCCACTGATTAAAGGAAACAATTCCTTGATTCATGGAAAACTCATGGAAGCGTGTAGCAGACTTTTTATTGTAATAATTATATTCTGTTCTCATTTACATTCAGGTAAACTAATTTCAATGTAGTTACTACTGATTTGCATCCATACTAACTTTAGTTTGCAACACGAAATTAGTCAAGCTAGTGCTGTAACTCCAGTATAGTATGTAAAAACCCACAAATGCTGTCTGACTCATACAGATTTTGAACCTGTAAATATTGACTTGTGGGTTTTTAAGTTGCAAAAAATCAGCAGGAACTTCTTCAATGTCATTACAGAACCCAAACCTCAAGATCAAACTATATTACCTTCAAGGTTTCCAGGCCACTGGAATTTTGAATGCATTATTCTGAATGAGTTGTTTCTCCTTAAATAGAAGAAGTTAATGGCAAAATACATTGCTTGTGTCAACTGTGATGTAATTCACAGTAGTATTTATTAACTAATTAGGATTGCATAATATTTTGCAATCCAGGATAAGGTAGTGCCGTAGTTTGAGAGTCCCAAAATCCAATCCTCAAGTCCAAGCCCCCTCTCACAACTCAGAGCAGTGTGAAATGGGTTTTCCAGACACAAACATGAGACTCAGTATGGGGGGAAAGGGAATTATATTGCAAACACTGTACAAATAAATATTATAATACATCATATACAGTCTTAACTATCTCTCCTATACTAAATCCGTATTTACAATGGATCAATCTCTTCTCCCTTCAATAAAAGTCCAGAAGGGAAAATGAAAGATCCTTTCCACTCTCAGAGCAGCAGTCTCTCTAGGGCAGTAGTCCCCCTTCCTCCATGCAGCAGCTGTAGCTGGATCTCTTTTCATTACACACGAGGGGGGTCTCCAAGCCCCTCTCGGCCCTTCGACTCCAAGCGAGGGTCTTTCTCTTCCACGGGTTGCATTCACCAGGACAAAGGTCACTTCATCATGTCATATTCACGAAGTGCAAGAGTCTTTGTGACGGTCCCTATCCTCAGGGGATTCAAGCTCCCTTGCAGAGCTCCCATGCTCTGTTATCAGGCTGCTAGCTTAGCAGCAGCAGCAGGGGGGCAAAGCCCTCCTCCACATTCCTTCTGGCCATCCCAGTCCAGCTTTCCAGGATACCTGACCTTCTTAGCTCTTCTCTGTCTCTCTGGTGCTGCATTTTAGGACTCCTTTCAAGTGGGAGTCCACCACCCCTCCTCTCTAGGAGAGGTCTCCAAGGAGTTTGGGGAGTTTGTTTCAGTTCTTACTCAAACTCTCTCTCTCTGTAGAGCTTAGTCCTGCTCTGTCTCCATCAGACATTTCTCTGTGTCTCTCTTCCTTGGCTGCAATGCCGGCTTTGCTGCTTCTTCAGTTCTTATCTCTTGGCTTTCAGCCATAGCCTCCGTTCACTGCTGTTTCTGTCGCTGCTTCTGCTGCTGCTTACAGTGGAGAAACATCCCCCAGCTCTTAGCTACAGATACTTAGCCCAATCTAACACTGTCC